TATATATATATGTATATATATATATACATAGTAATATACAGCAGTAGAGCCTGTATTCCGTGTGCCTATTACTGAACTCAGTAGTACAGACAGGTAGTACATTCACGGCTGAAGTCCGCTTTAACAGTTAAAACCAGAACAACAACAAGTTTTTCTTGACATTTCCTGATACGTGTGTAGTGCAGGCGATGTATCAGCTTTGGTCGTACAACCAGGATGTTTGTCTCCTCTGGTGTTTCTGCAGGATTGCCTGTCTCCAAATGACCACTGATGTTTGAGCTCATTAAGGTCGCTGTCCGTGGTGCTAGTTTCCTCTGCTCTCTTTCTTGCCTTCTTCCAAGTGCGTGGCCCCCAGTGACACAAAGACATAAAATTAGAATTCAGTGCTAATTCTGCTCCTATTTCCCTTATGGAAACACACACGTCTCTGCTGCCATTTTTCTTTCATTTGATGTTTTCACTTCTGGGGAAACAAATCAGGTGAGAGGAAATCTGTGTCAATGTCAATACGGCGATGATAGGTTAAGATTTGACGTCACTTTCTTTACACTTGTATGGTGACGCCAGACCTTGAATATCTTTCAAATTTAGTCGTTCACATTTTTTTGTGAAGTTCAGCACGTAGCTGTGAGCCACAATTACCCCTAGTGGCAAAGGCCATAATGGGTTGTTATTCTTACTGAAGTTAAAATTTTAAATTTAAAAAAAATCTATAAATCTGCACATTGACAAACACGTGCGACCTTTGCCTTACTGCTCTGCCTCTCTTTTATTTTGTTAATGTCTTTCTGTCAGATGGTTTTTTTTTCCTAAATGGCCAGTCATTAAGGAACTCATCAAGGTCGCTGTCCGTGGTGCTAGTTATGCTTTACGCTCTTGTTTCCTTCTGTCTCTCTGTATGAGTACGGCCTGAAAAAGATCTTGTCCTGCGTGAAATCCCGTGAGTTCCTGCATCACTGCTCTCCACTTCTCACTACTCTCTCAAGTGAAACACACCCAGCCACGTGGAGGGGAGGTAACGTCCGCCGCTGCTATGATAACCGACTTGTAAATACACACAGGCACACAGGTGCTTCTCTCCCCCTCCCTCTCTCTCTAACTCCCTCTGTCGCTCGCTCCATGCCCCTCCTCCCCCCGAGACGCGCAGAGGCACACGGAGAGACACATACTAGCATCAATAGATGATGTTTTTTTATGACTCTCTTCCAGAGCCGCCTCTCACACCGGGCATCTACTGATACCCATTAATCATGAGCTCACTTGTACTGTCAGCCCAGCCTCTCCTCTCCTCTCCACCCCCCCTCCCCCCTCCTTCCTCCTCCCCTGCCTTCACTTTCAGCCTGTCACTTAACAAGCTGTGACACCGTGACAGTGATGAGTGTGCTACTGAGTGAAGCCCCGCTGCAGCATTTATTGGAAAGGTATTGAAATGGTCCAGGATGAAGGGGGTAGTGATGAGATTGTATTTCTCAGTACGTCATGACGTGGAAGTCATGAGTGAAACCCGGTCAGTGTAGGAACAACACCTGGTGTTTTGTATTTTACTTCAGCGTACGATGAATATATTCGTCATAACACGTCATTCATTTTTCTTTTCCTTCTCTCTTTCTCTCCTTTCCTGTTGGCGCCGGTTCTGTTTACGCAGGCTCGGTGTCCCTCAGTGTGTTCCTGCTCTCCCTCGCAGTGACAGTGTGTGCTGTCTGGCTGGTGGCTCTTTGTGGCGTCTGTGGATGGTGTCAACGCAAGCTGGTGAGTTTACACAGATACACAAAGGAACACCTGTACTTCTGAGCATCATGGTCAAAATATATAAATATATATATGCAGGTTAATTATTAATAAAAAATCAAGTATAGTACTGCGGAATACCAAAGTACAAAATATTACATCATGGTTAAATCCTGACCTGCTGATCAAGTATAGTACTGCGGAATACCAAAATACAAAATATTACATCATGGTTAAACCCTAAACTCCTTCAAAACTCCACTTGAGTGAATCCAAGTGTTCGCTGACCATCACTGTGTAGGAGGAGGTCTACAGGTACAGTGGGACATGTGACGGCAGCTACGACTGATCAGTCGGACCGAGGAGAAGTCAAATTCAGATGACCTCCTCTGGAGGGCACATCATTGTGATTATGGACTGTGAAATTTGATTGATTAACGGGAGGCAACGACTGATTAGGAAGACAGAGTCGTGTGGCCGAGCGCCACTTCTCGTGACAGCTTTGTTTTTAAAAAAAAAATTTCTCTTCGTCTGCCACGTTAATTGATTTGTGAATAAACGTCAAAACCCAGACAGTTAATTCACGCAGTCTTATATTTTTACCGCGGAGTCTTAAGGCCCGTAAACATTACAACAACGTCAGTCGTATTATGACGGCCTCGGCAGTGAGGTGGCTGTACCGGGGATTACTGACTGATGCTGTTATGTCCGTCATAACAGCATCAGCGTAAAAAAACCAAAAGGAAATGGCTGGTGCCGAAATGAAAGTGCTACAGCACAGCCGTCTATCGTTTACCTCAACGGAACATTGTGTTACATTCGATATTCCACTTTGGAGTAAATGGAGCAGTGAATGAATCTTGGTTTCCTGCTGTGGACGGAGGTAGTTCCACTAGCAGCACCTTGGAAAGTCCCTAAGGTTTTCTTAGCAGTGCTGCTGTAAATGGATCTTATTTCCATCCTGTGACAGCGCCTGGCAGCAGACACCGAACTGCAGTGGGGGGAGGGTGGATGGGGGGGGCTGGATGAGATGACTATTGGCCCCCGTGACCTTGTGAAAACCACTCAAATTCCATATCTTAATACGCCAGATGCAGCCTCGCTGGCAGCCGCACATTTGTCTGTTGTGTTTTGCTGAGGTGAAATCTCCTACACCTGTTTGTGTCGACACGAGGGCTGTCGCGTTCGTCAGGTGACTCGCTTCGGAATCGTCTCGGAGTTAAAATAAGTCTCTCTCATGTTATAGACTAGTCAAATATTGTGTTTATTTATGTATTGGTTTTTTTTTTTTGGAAACGAATGGCAAGACACTGGCAGCTGACCTCAACAGTCAAGCTTGATTATCTCGACATTTTCTTACCTCGACTCTACAATAAATTTGATAAAATATATAAAAAATAAAATATACATTTTAAACTATCTGAGTCGAGTCGAACAATTAACAAAAAAAAGTCCACAAATGACCACAGCAGGAAGTTGTTTCAACACATTCTCGAGCACATTCTACATACTACAAGTAAAAACAAAGTTGTTTCAACACATTCTCGAGCACATACTACATACTACTACAAGTAAAAACAGCTTAGTGCGTATCCTACTAAGTATTTTACTACCGAGTACTTGGTGGAATCTGACTGGAAAATGCACTGCGTATCTTTGTGTAAAGTAGTAGGAAATCCCAACGCAGTACAATATACGAGTGGGCCTATGATGCTAATCAAATTCTTTGTCATCACGTTTATAAAAACTGCAGACACCCACCAGAGTGGAACCACATTAAACACAGCTGCCTGATGTACAAAATGATGAAGTGAGTCTGAGATAAATGGCAGTGGTTAATGATGATGGATGTACTTTTGATGATGATACACAAATACTACTAATCCTGCTAAAACACATTTTCCCTCTCATTAATACATGATCCCACAGGTTTTTTATTTAATTTATTTATTTTTTTTTCTATTCGAGTCTGTGTTCGTGCAGTCGACAGCCGTACGATCCGATCTCCGTGTGGGAGATTCTCCTTCACTTCCCTTGATCTCTCCGTCGCCCGCAGTTCCATGAAACTTCCACATTCCCCCAGGACATCATTTGAATGCATATACATCCCAATCTGCATAAACACGCTGTGTTCTTTCAGCAGGCACGTAAATTCACGTGGCTTCATTATCCGTGCGCACAAAAAAAAAACAACACGTCATCCCCACGATGATGAAATGGAACCGCAGCTTGTTAGCCGTCACCAGCTAGTCCAAGTATAAAACTGTCCGACCACTACTTTTCCTTGACGGTGTCAGCTTTTATAACGGGAGATGTTTGCCTCCAGCTTTGTGTGGAGCCATGCCAGATTTTGTTATGATTCATAGGTGAGTAGGCAAGATATTTTGGGTGAGTGTCGCCTTCGGTGCTGTAGCTTGTCAGCCGGTTGGATTGGTTTTATTTTAGAAAAAGTCCTGGTGTGTGGTCATCTCAGAGCCTTGCTGTTCCGACTGTCCTGTAGCAGCGATGCTAACCGAACACTTTTGGTCGACCCTATGTGCCATGTTTTTTTTTTGGTTTTTTTCATCATGTCAATAATGCCCAATAATAAAAATCACTGTTTTCCTTAGGTTTCCCACAAAAATGAAAACAAACTATACCCCTGTTTTATGGTCAGGTTTATTTTGTTTTTAATTAAATGTAACAGTGGCAAAGACAAAACAACAAAAACGCAGTCAGTTGCACAACGAGTCACATGGTTATTAGGCTCCTGTGTCGTGGAGCTGATGATTCCCAGCAGGGGATTGGAATTAAGGTGGATCTTTTTTTTTTTTTTTTTTTTGCATATCAGAGGAAGTGCAGCTCACATCTGCCTGAGCAGCAGTGACTGTGTGTCATTTCAGAAACCCCCCTCAGCTGCTCCCAGGTCTCTGTGTCATTTGATCCATGACACGCAGCGGTTGCTGCTGGAGTTGAGATTGGAGCTGACGAGATGTTCAGCTGGATTACACTGCTTGCAGTCGCATATGTAAATGTTTTAGTTGTGTTTACTGGAGAAATGAGTAGAAGTACTCAGTCAGACGGCGTGGTGCGTTTTCTTACTGCAGTTCAGTGTCTCTTTGCCCTCGTGTGTAGTTCATTTAAGCAGGTCAACAATGTCAGCCCTTTGGAGGTGTTTTAACATCAGGCCGGAGGACAGGAGCAAGGCTTACCGTAACATGTGACACCTTACTGTACAGTGGATGGAGGAGGCGTTCGCACCTCACCGAACGCAGTTTTTGTTGAGATGAATTTATCCAACACTGCGTTTGAATTCAGTCGCGTAGTTTAGGTGACACTTTGTCAACTAGAATTTTTGTTTTAAATGAACTGTCAGAGTAAAAGCTTTGAGTAATATTTTGAAAACTATTTTGTTTCTGGTGGCGCTTTGGCCCAGAGGCAATATCTCTGTCATTGGTGTCATCACCTCCTGGGAAAGTTCGAATCCCAGTTAGGGCGGTTGGTACCTACAGTGGACTCACCACCTGCAGGAAGTAACGGATAAGCAGATAAGAATGGACGGATGGATGAACTGTCAGAGTAAAAGCTTTGATCACTTTCTGGACAGTTGGTTTTTAACGTTCATTCAGTATTATTTTGAAAAATATTTTTTAATATTTGTGGTCATTGTTTTAATGTGGCGACAGCGTTAGTTTGAATTATTTGATTTGATTAGTACAAAAAGATTTGTTTCGTTTTGGTCTGAAATATCCTTCTGTTCATGAATCTAACCCTCGATCTTGTGTTTGTCAGATGATCTGCAGAACACACTCAAATACCGTCACGCCGCGTCATTACACATTAGACCGTCCGAGAGCAGAGAGTTGTAAATGTTGTTATTATTCTAAAATAAGCCGTAGTCCCGGTGAGGTGACACCTCCTGGACGGAATCGTTCTCTGTGCAATTCAACCTCCGGCTGCCACAGGTAGAAAAATACATATTTTGACGTCTGCCGAAAACTCACCGATCGTTGGACGATGTCGCAGTGGACAGCGATGTTAATGGCTCACTCCTCTGTAATTACGGTGTGGTGTGAGTAATACTGAGCGAGCATGTAGACTCTCGCTGCCTGCTAATTCACAGCAAACAAACACAGCTGGGTGTTGGAAGGCAGTTCACTGCCAGCTGAGACGGAGAGCGCTGGTTTCACTCTGTCTACTCCTTTATCTACATTCTTAAGGAAAACCCTTGGTGTCACCCCGGGCGGCCTGACATGGACACTCATAGAGAATAAAACCTGAAGAACATGAAAGAAAACACTCGCACGTTGGATGATCCCACCGGCTCCCGAGTAGTAGATCACAAAAAAAAATTGAAAACTATTCTCACCATATATACTGTATATATATATAGCATATATATATGTGGTATATATATATATGTATATATATGGTATATATATATGTCTATATATATATATCATATATATATATATACACATATATATTTATATATGTGTCTGTGTATATACATATATACCATATATGGTATATATGTATATATATACTGTATATGCTATATATATACCATATATATACATATATACATATACCACATATATATATGCTATATATATATACAGTATATATATGTATATATATATATACATATATACTGTCTATCTCTGGTCACATGTAATAAACGTAAATATATGATGGTGTGTGCAGCAGTTCCCTCTGAGTGGAGTTCACTTGTCGAGCTCGTGCTGCTCCTTCCTGTCCGGGCCATTTCGTCTGTGTGTCTGACTTTTTGACTGTTGTTGCTGTCTGCAGTTTGGCCCTAACTGCCTGGTTGACAGCAGACTGTAAACCTGTAAACCTTCAGTGAATCTTTTTTTCCTGCACCAGCCTTGTCGGATCAGTCCTTCATTTGTTGACATCATAACAGCTTTCTTCTCTCTGCGGTGAGAGAAATATAAAAAAAAAAGTGAAAGGAAGTGGTGATTGCTACAGTTTGAGAAAAAAAACAAAAACAAATCCGTGCGTCACAGTTTGTAAGGTTGGTTTCTGACTGTTTTTCTTCATCACAGTTTCACGGCCACTGAATGTGGACAGACTCTTTGTCTTCAGTGAACCAACTTTACACTTGAGTGCCACGGTCTTGGACATCTGCCAATTTACTATACAATACAATATTGTGTTTGTAAAATACTACGTAGTATTGTGTTGGATATATAGAGCATTTAACTTTACATATCATTAAGCACATTTTTAAATCATATCAATTGCAGAGTTAGAAATAAAGCATATTTATTATGCAGTACTGTGTATTACCTTACACGTATTAATATTTAATATGCAGTACTGACATTATTACTTATTATTATTATTATTTATAATTACTCGACTTATTATTATATCTGTAAGACCAGCGAATGAGATAGAAACAGTTGCCCAGGAGTCAAATATCAATGTTAATGTAATTTAACAGTCAGTGTTAAAAATCAAATTAAAATCAAATTATATATATATATATATAAATGTTAAACAAAAATTAATAATAAAGAAATATCACATTTGAGGGAAAATGCAGGGAAAGTATCCAAAATTATTTTTCACTGGATATTTTCAACACAGGTGTTAAGTTATTCAGATGTTTGCACTAAATGACCTGCAGTGGTGAGTGGATATTTTCAACACAGGTGTTAAGTTGTTCAGATGTTTGCACTAAATGTCCTTAAATGTTGAGTCAGTTAGCAGTTAGCAGTTAGCAGTTAGCCGTTAGCGGTTAGCAGTGTTCATCACAGTCGTTGTTTTGCTGCTCTCTTGAAAAACAGAACCAAAGTGTTTGTGAATGGAAATGAGCTGCAGGAGGAAATGGAAGAAGGTGGTTTGTGGTTTTGAACTGTCTACATCTGTGTGTGTGTGTGTGTGTGTGTGTGTCCACATGTGGAGGCTTGATGTCTGTTACACATCACATTAGTCCCTTCTCATTTCCACCTGGATGCCTCCTGGGACTTCCTGTCATCCAGTGTTTGTCCCAGTTCACACCTGTCCCTCCTTCTCATCTCTTTTATCTCACATCTCTCTGATTTCTCTCCTGCCCGTTTTTTTTTTTTTTCTTCCTTCACAGATATGGTTTATTTTCCAGCTCTCACTTCTTCTTCTTCTTTCTTCTTCTCCCTCTCACACTCTGTCTTGCCACATTCTTCAAATTTTTACGATAGCCTTGAATGATACATGAGTTTCCTTTGATGGTGTTTCCTCGGCTGGCAGAGCGAGTGGCGCCCTCTCAGAAATTGTCTCGCAAGAAGGGAGACATCGATGCACGTCCAACCGTCCCTTGTATTTAAGTTCACCTCCGGGGCGTGCACATGTTGTACGGGTTTTAATGGGATGTGCGTGCTATTGTATTTTCCAAAACACGGAATTAAATGATGTAACGTGTATTAGCCAATGTCAAACCAGGGATAAGGGCAATCATTCGCCTCCAGGGAGCTGCAAAAAAAAAAGTGTGAACAGCCGCTAGAGTGTGTCAGCTGGAAAGGCTCTGTGATGACTTTAATCTATACTGTAAGTACTTCCATGTCTACGGGGCTTGTTTTCTAGAGGCCATTATGTAAATTAAAAACATTTCAGTGTGCAGCTGTTCAAGGAGTTGATGGTGATTCGATAGATATTTTACACGGCGTGCCCTTTATCTTTTTTTTTTTTTTTTTTCGCCCAGCAGGGTTATTGTCAGCTCAGGCTGGTCCTGATCCACAGCCACACTACGCAAACACTTTCAAATTCCACTCATTTTGCTGTTTTATTTACACCTTAGTCAAAATCAATCTTTTTTTTTTTTTTTCTTTTTTTTCCTGCCGAAGCCTGAAAGTTCAACGCTGTGACACTGGTTTGCCTTTTCATACCCTGTGTTATTTATAAGCATTTCATGCATCACAGATGAAGTTGAGTCAGTCAGAATGTCATACACGGCCGATCTGCACATCCTTGAGGAGAGGGTACGTAACATCTGGGAATGTGAAGATAAATCAAATCAAATACTATCCATGCAAAATGCAAAAAGTAAAAAAAAAAAAAAAAAAAGAAATACAAGCATCAAGGAAATCTGATTGAGTTAATTGCAAGAATTATTAGAAAATCATATTTTCAATAAAATAAAAACAAACAACTTGTTAAGGCGGTGATCATCAAGACCTAGAGAGGAAAAATACAAACAAACCCCGGGGCGGAGGAAATTGCTAATCAAGATTCAAATCATAATGTAAATAAGTAAAGCTGTAATGTTTTTTGTATTTGTTTTGTTCAAAACATTTGCCCTCCGACAACAGACAACAGACAGTGCTTTTCACTTAATGTTTAAAGAATAATTTACATGATATTATTAAACGCACCAATAACGAAATACATCCAACACCAAACATGGTACAGCTTGGACTCGCCCGATTTTTGGGTGGCAGCTTGAAAGGCTTGATTGAAGCTAAAAAGAGTAAGAAACTCCAGCGAACGTCTGGACGTGTGTGTGTGTGTGCGCGGGAGGGGGGGAGGAGATGCAGGGGGAGGGGCTGAGTTTGGGGGAGAGCATTTTCACCACAGGTGTTTGGTCCTAAACTCTGTGGAGGATCAGGTGAACAGTGATTATGTGAAGGAGCACTGTGGTGAGCAGGTCAGTGAGTCATGTCAGAGCGCTGTAACTGTGGACGTTGGGGTGGTGGTGGTGGTGTTAGTGGGGCTTTAGTACTGTTGGAGTGATGTGTTGATGGTAGCCTTTCACTGACAAGTACGTGAGCAGCAGAGTTCTGGTTTTATGTAGGACTCTGTTGGACGTGCCATTCGTAATACAGCCGTCGGTTCTGGACGTGACCATCCACCATTATCAAACTGATAATGGTGGATGGTTAGATGGAAAGTAAGAAAAATTCCAATAGCAGTAAATGGGTTGTATTAAGTCATATTTACATAAACAAAAGGGTAAACAAGAAAAAAAAAACAAGCAGTTTAAGTAATGAATAAAAACAAGGGGGCCGAGTACTATTCCCTGGGGGACACCCTGTGAGGGAGAGAAAAGGCTTGAAACGGTTGATGAACAATTTATAATTATAATTTAAAAAATTAAAACCCATATTTTAAAAATGTGTCAAGACGGTAATAGATCGATACAAGTTACTGACGCCATTCTAGCCACTGTCTAAACACAGGAAACTCTGCTCTTACAAAGGCGTAGAATTTAGGACATTTCTCCTCAACCACTCAACCCGTCTGGAGGTATTGTACTGCAGTACAAGTATAATTCACTCTTATTTCACGTACCTCTGAATTTGACTTTTAAAAGCGTGTCGGCGTCGAACGAGGGGCTCGTTTTGCTGAGGAATATATTGACCGAGCAAAACAGAAATCTTTCAGATTTCTGGGAGTCGTACGCACGCACATGTGTGTGACACCTGTAGACGTGATCCCAAGTGTCAACAGAGATTCCCTGCAGTGTAACACACGTGCTACACCTTCAACCCTAATGAATGCTCCTGGCAGAACTCACACACCGGCACCTTTAAATTGCCATTATTTCCATGGTGACAGCAGGTCACGCTCTGCCTCTTTGAAATCAGGACCTTCTAGAGGCTCCTCTCCACCAGATTACCTCAAAGAGGCAATTGCCATGTAAATTTCGGGGTGGCTCCAATGATAATCACAGGCAGAAAAGGCTCTCCACCGCAGATTTGATTTGACTTTGATGAGAGTAATCAGATAAAGGACTGATGGCACCGTGTTCCTGAGATAATGGAGGGCGGGGGGAGTGGGGGGGGGTATGTAGCTGAAACACATCTTTAAAGGACACGTCTCAACTAACCTCTTTCTGTTTGTTTTCTTCGTCATCCCCTCCAACCACTCGCCTAAAGGGGAAGAGGAACAAGCCAGGAATGGAAACGGCAGACACTCCAGACTCGGCACGTGGGCGAGGGGAGAAGAAAGCCATCAAGTAAGTGCCTGCTAACTGGTGGGGGGGGGTAGGTTAATCTGGTGATAATGAACTTTCAGTTGGATCAGCTCCAGCCCTAAAGACCTTTTTTTTTCTAGATGGTTGTGTAGATTAAAGCTGCATCGTTTTACCTTTGAAACCTCGGGCTGAGCAGTTCAGCTCCTGAGTACAAACCTTTTTTTTTTTTTAATGCTGCAGGTTTTACTAAAAGGGAATCAGCCAGTTTCTGTGGGATTGTTGGAGTGTATTGTTCACCTTCACATTTCTTACAGGGCTCAGACTCACAGTAAGGTCTCTCCTGTTCATATTGAAATAAGACCACGGGTCAGCACACGGAAATGTCAGCTGTGTAATGCTAAGTGCAAGACGTTATTTTTGCAATTGCCTCCATTAACTTGTTCCTCACCGTTTCTTCTCTTCTCCACAACCTGCTGTTGTTTCAGCTTTTTTTTTTTTGTGACCTGTGTATGAAAAGTTTTGAGCACTGACGTTGATTTCTCTGTGATGTGTTCGGAGTAGATGTTGATTTTTTTTTGCTTCTCCTTCTCACTGGCTCCGGCAGCATCGGTGTGCTCTGTCGGCCATTCCACCTCCGAGCTCTTCTTTGCGCCTTGTCGTTCTCTCCCGCTCTCTTCCTTTGGCCACTGCTGCGTGACTTGTATGACATCAGTGTTTTCTGCTTACCTCTCCACTCTGACTGGCTGTGATTTATCTCTGTCGTGTGCACCGTGCTTTCATGCGTTCTCTCCCGGCTCGCACTGAGGACGGAGACCCGAGTGCTGTGCTAGATAAACAGAATGTTTGTATGTATTCAATGGATTGTGATGATCCCTCTTTTCTTGTTGCCTGTATTTTCCATTGCTCTATGAAAAGCTTTCTGTGAACACCTTTTCCCTCCAGGCTGCCCCTTTGTTATTTTACCAAAACCCGCAACCACGGCTCCTCTCTGACATCATCTGGTAAAAAAGAAAAAAAAAAAAGAACATGTTACAGGGATTGTTTTGTTTTCTAACCGTGATTGTTTCGACACCAACTCTCTCCCTCGTATCAGGCTCTCCTATGGTCCTTGAACGCAGCAGCGTCTGTTTGGTGCCAAGGCTTTCCGTGGCTGTGTTGCTCTGACCTGTCTCTCTCTTTGGCCACAGTGATCTAGACAGAGACTTTTGGAATAACAATGACAGCAGCACAGTGCAGCAGAGGTGGAGCTCTTATCCTCCCAAGGAGTTCGTACTTAACATTTCTCCATATGCTCCATATGGAGACCCACGCCTCACACTCAAGTGAGTCTTGGTCCAAGGCTGGTAAGAGTTCTTCTCCACAGCAGGGCTGTAACGAGGCAGGGGCAGAGTCATCTCCCTTCTCTCTCCCGTCTTCCCTGCGTTTCCTGCCACACTATCCACTTGAGTTATTTAGTTTGTCTGAAACAAATATCTCAACAGACTCTTTATGTGTATGATGTCATCAGGAATGGCAGAAAAGTATGTGAGGTTGGTGTAAGGCAAGGGTGCCCAATAAGAACGGGATCTACCAGTAGAAAGTGCTGGTTTGATCAAAGTTCTACCAGTAGATCTCAAAGAAAGTGCTGGTTTGATCAAAGCAGTAAATATATATTTAGAGTTTTCAATGTAGTTTCCGGTCACTTGAAAAGTAGCTCCCAAGCCGAAAAAGTGTGGACACCCCTGCTGTAAGGTGTTCCATTGAGTGACAGATGAGTTAAGGGTTAGGGTGAGGTTACAGCGGGCTTCCAAACTTCCTGTTATTTTTAACGTTAAGACAAGGTTGACGAACAATTAGTCGTGCAGGATTCTCTGTGTCTCTCTGAGTTTTTTTCAATGTGCGGTAAGAGTAGAGTGGCTACTGAAGTTCTGCAGAAGAGGGATGAGAATTGTAAGTGAAGTTTAAATGTGTAAGAGAGGGGAGTACCTGGGTCGACCCTTTTACTACTACTCCAAACTCTACTAGGACTTGATTAAAAGGCTTGTACGATTTGGAGATGAGTTGAAGACTAAGATTTCCATTTCGAATTCACCAAGATGAACGGGATTAGGAAGAAGGTAACTCCGAGGGACAGCAGAGGGTTGACCACTTTGGAGATTAAGATAGACAGAAAGAAAGAGAGAGAGAGAGAAAAAGGGGAAATAATTGTCAAAGGATGCTGGAAATGGAGCTGTCAGGCAGGGGTTGGAAGAGGAAGACCAGAGAGAAGATGGCTGGTAGAGAAGATAGTCTGAGGAACTGCAGAGGAGGCAGGAGAGCAGCCTAAAGTACACACAGAGAGCGTCCTGTCCGCTCACACTATTTCTATTAAAAGCAGCAATAATGGCAACAATATCAGCCCGCCCATGTTTGCGCACCGGAGGGCACAAGTGGTTGCTAATGATTACTCATAATTGGCGTGGGGGAATGTGCGAGTAGTAAATGTCAGAGATGCACGTTCCCGTGTCCCCCGTCGCAGCCGTTTGACTGTTAGTGAAGCAGCGGAGCAGCACATCTCCGTAGCTCCAGGCTAATTTCCACTGCTGCTCCTCACGTCCTGTCACCTTTTAATGAACACACGGGCGTATGTTCACGTGCCCCCCTACTCCCTACAGCCCTGCTAGTTCCACTAGCTCCTGACCTCTAACCTCTCCCCTTTCTCCCATGGGGTGAAACCATGGAGACGGGCAACCCTCACGTAACCTTCCTTTTCCGAAAAATGACGTGTGTATACCTTGTTGTTTTTCCTGTGCATCCTCCTCTCCTCTGCTCGTTTGAACGGACACTTGCCTTCCGTAGTAGTTGTCGCTGTGGTTATTGTGCTGGAGGGTTGACCGTTAACACCAGGTTTGCAGTGTTTGCTGCCAGTGTTTACCTGTGGTTTATCTCCATCTGTGGCTTCTCTGATCCTCATCTACCTGACGTGTTCTAGTTCACTGCACTAACACTTTCAACTTCATCCACCCGCCTGTCAGCTTGAGAGATGAGGCAACAGTGTTTGTACTTGATGCATTCAAAGTCGTTTTTTTTTTTTTTTTTTTTTTGGACTCACTTGACGCTTGAATCCAATAAAGCTCCAGCAAGGTCACACCTGTCTCCCTCCAGGCAGGGGGGGACGGGGGGAGCCGAGCTTAGACATCCTGCTACCAGGCTCCAGTCTGATGAAACGTCTAATAACTGGTCATCTTCAATAGAGCCAGCAGTTGTGGACTGTGTGCTAAATTGCCTGAAGAAAAGAGCCAGCGATGCCCTTATGAGCACAGTGAATATATGGATTTCAGTCTGAAAAACTCTGCCTGAAGATAGCGCTTACTCATCTCGACCCTGACACTGGTGTCTTAAGGAGTTGGTTTAAAAAAAAAAAAAAACAAACCCTAAGGTTTTAAATTATTGGTCATAGTTTTTCTTAGAGACAGTAGCAGTAAAAAAAAAAAAGTTCATAAAGTTTTTATGGCAGTACGGGTGAATGAGTTGATTTACGGAAGGAAGTCCAACAAGTGAAATTGGACAGTCCATTAATTAAATACATAACATTAAAATAGATATTTTACCCAGTGGTGACAGGGCTTAACCTTCTGACTTGAATCAAACATATTCTTGATGAGTCACCACGCAGTCGGGGAATCAGTTCTGCTCAAAACTCTCTGGAGATGAGAAGCTCTCGCTCACAGCGGGTCTCATTATTTAAAAACTTCATTTTCCTGCTTGATCAATCTCCAATTTAGGAGATTTATTGGAGTCACTGGATTGGAATTACATTAGGAGATTACTCATTTCATTTATTTAATATCAGAGCAAACCCGAGTGTCGGTGTGTATGCTCTGTGCTTTACGTTTTAATTGTACCTTGCTTCCTCCCGACGCAGAGGACGTCCAGTCATAACCGGAGTGATAAACGTATATCTTTTAATGAAGACTAAAGATTTTTCACCTTGTGCTCGGCTCCCGTGTTTACCAGCGCTCCGACGGGTGTCACCCGTGCCGTTGTTAAGATTAATGACGTGTCCGCGTGCACTGTCAGGTCATCTGGTCAGGATTCATCGTAATGGAAGGTGACCTTCAAAGGGATATGATTTAAGTGCGTCCCCCGTCCCGCCTCATCCTTCTGATCCCAGCCTACTCACCAGACGTCAATGTCTCTTCTCTGACTCCTAATTCTGTGTCTGTCTGTCGGAGCAGAGGCTTTCTTGCATATTAATGAAATGGAGTCATGTCACCAGAGGGCACCACTGTGCTTTATTTTTGATCGTCACTTCTTTCAGGCCAGACATGACATTTTAAACCCCAAATCGGTTTAAACTGACATTTTAAAATGTAGGCATTAAATACTTCCTCTTTTTTTCACTGTGTTTTTAAGGGTTTTCAACTCTCTCCCTTTTTTGAATGATAATGCTAAATGTTGGTCGACCTTTTCAAACGAGGGCAAAAATTGCTCTTAGAGCTCTTCATAGCCACAACTGAACTACATTGGTGAACAATTGGTAAACAAACAAATGCTGTACACACACTGTTGCCACTAGTGAACGCTGGCAGCCGTAGTTGGAGTCCACCGGCCTCCAGGAGTGACTCCTCACTGCTCTCAGGCTCTTTTTGTGTTTTCTTCTTTTCCTCCTTCCTGGTTCCTCTCATTCCTCCCCCTCCTACCCTCACTAGAGTTCAGACTTCTTCACCCACTTGCCTCTCACTTGGCCTGGAAAACTAGACCTGCCCCCTCACACCCTCTGCTGATCTGTCTCACCTCCTTCGCCATGATGTTGCTCAATCGGTTTTCCTGTGTGTGTGTGTGTGTTTGTGTCCGTCTTTCTCACACTCTGCTGCGTGTCTCCTTCTCTGCCTTTTATTACTCCTCCTCTCCTCCACCCTGTCTGCCGTGGGACCTGTTTCTCTGTTGCTCAGTGGGGCAGTATCAGGGGGCCAGAAGGGGGCAGCAACTGGGCATGGGGATGATGTGGGGGGTTCTTATGGCAGCGACAGCGTGAAGAGCGTGGTGAGCGATGGAGTGAAGGCCGGGAGGTGGCAGACGGTCCAGGGCCACATCCAGGCTGGAGGGCTGAGACCCAACAAGTAAGTTTGACCTCAGATATTGGTTTGATTGTCCATTTGTATTGGCTTTTTTGTTGGTTTTCATTAAGAACCCCCTCAGTTGGTTGACCGTCAGATCACGACACAGAGAGAGGGACAGGGACAAAAGTGCTTCTGTGAAGGACGTACAATCACAATCACAAGTTTCACAGAAAACACGGAAAATTAAAAATGCATATTTATTATTTTTAGCGTCACACAAAAAAGTTATTCCAGTTCAAATTTGGACCTTCTATTCTTAGACCAAATTATCATATCTGTGTTGGGCCAACTTCGGGGGAGGGGAAGGTGATATTGAGATGTCAAGGTGAGCAGATGGACGAAAATAAAGGTGAGAGGACCGGGGGAAAAGTGGATTTACGTCATCGACAGCGATACAACACTCACTGTAGTAATATAATATAATATAGTATTATATAAAAATAAACCTTAAGCCACAAAGTATATGTTTGGATGATATCAATGATTCATGCCTGAGGACTTTGACTGTGCCACACAGAAACAGTGGAGTTAAACACAACAACACGGCCTGTCAGCCTGTCATCTCGACAGGGTTTCAACCGAGAAGTGAAACGAACGTTTGTCTCTATCTATTCACCAATCATCTGACGTGATGAGAAAAAAAAAAAAAAATCAGGAGTTGAATTTTTAGTCTGAATTTTTACACCTTCCTGTGGCGCCGCGTGCCTGTGAATTCATCCCCCACAACACATTTACACTCATCGCTACCTCACGCTTCATTCCTGCCTTCTTCTCCTCTCCTTCTCCTCTTTTTCATCTTTCTTTTTGCCCCCTGTCTGTAATTGGATTCTATTTTCAGGCTGCTATAAGTGTCTGTGTCTCCTGTGTTTTTGTCTCGCACCCCATTTTCTGTCTCTCCTCCTCCATCGTCGCTCCCTGGTCTTATCGTTCCCATCACTCTCTCCATCTGTGTGTGGCTCTGCCACTCCTTTTTGCTTTCCCCTCTTTCGGACACTTTTTAAAGCGAATATTTAAAGATAAAGAGCGCACTGAAAGCTTTAGTGTAAAACTGTATTAGGTAAAGAAATGCAAAGCAGAAAAAAAACTGTGCATAACTGATGTGAAACGCTCTCATGACCTAATTCCGGTAGTCTAGGTTACACTGTGATATGAGAGAGAATATGATATTTTCAGCCAGTTATCAAAGACTGTCAAAGACCGGGACTCTTAAATAATAAAAGATGGCAATTCACGACGACAGGAAATATCTATTGTTGACTTCCATTTAGAAGAAATTAAAAATCACAATTAAACTGCATTTGTGAAAGGAGGAGCTGATAATGAGAGGGAGGGCGTCACGTTGAAGGACTTGGTTGGCTGTGGGAAAGTCTCCGGGGAGACGCTGGGCATTTAAAGGACGAAAAAAAGACGGAGAGAGAAGGAGACGCTGCGTGAGATGCAAAAAAAGTTGACGGATGGGTAAAAGAAATGGGGATCTCCCGTAAGAACAGGAAACCCTCGTCAGGAAGAGCAGGAAGCGGCAGAGGCTCGACCCTCGACCTCAGACACGCTCAGTTAGGACAGAGCCTCTCTCGGCAGACGTCCACGCGCAAACAGCCTGCACAGACACGCAAGGCAAACGCACAGGTGTCCCACTCACGCAGGTCGAGCTTTCAGTCCGCGCGACGCTGCTCCGCGCACAACCACGAGCCGTACGCGGCCCACGCGGAGCACGCGGGCTGCACCGTCTACTGCTACTTCTGCTACTGCTGCTACTGTTGCTGCCTCGCGCTCCTCTCCTTCTCTCTCTTCCTCCTCCTGTCTCCGCTTCATAACACCGTGTCCTTCCCCACACTTTCCTCAAATACGGCTTCACCTCCTTCCTCCCCCTCCCTCTCCCTTCCACGATCATCCTCTCCCCGTTTGGATGACCTTTCCTGTGCCTCTCCTGGCATCAACCTGACGTCTCCACTGAAGTGTCCACCGCCACCTTGCGTTGGTTCCGCCCAGGTCTTCTCATCTCGGGTGCTCACCAAATCTGATCCTCTCACCTCCTCCTTTCATTGCTCTTCCACCTCCTCCCCGCCTCCCCCTCGTCCCATCCTGTGCCGCCCATGGCCTTCGTCACAATCTCTTATCTCCCTGCTCCTCTGCCCTCCCAGCTTCGGGGATCAGGTCTTGTCCTACGCCTCCACCTTGGATCACATTCCCTCTGGTCCGGCTCGACCCAGGACTCTGTTACGACAGCAGAGTCTCCAGCAGCCTCTCATCCACCCGCCTGGCCCCGGCCTTGGTCAGGCG